AGAGGTGTTCGACGCCCAGACAGAGAACGCGCTACGTGTGACTAAGATAGCTATTGTACAGTCTGCTAAACAAGTTATTTTAAATAGTTTTTAATATTTTTAGGTAATTAAATTTTAAAAGTGTGGAATAGTTTAGGGATTAAATTGGTCTGATTGGACTTTCTTAGAACGTTTTTAAAAGCAGCTAAAGATACTATGTAGAATTGAAAATAATTATTATGCCATAAAAGGTGTTTTGGAATTCCTTCAACCTTTTGAAATTGAGTAAGAAAATATAAATTTTATAGGATAGCGGAAAATACCTATAATTTTTTTGTAGGCCTTTGTAAATTGTGGAAATAGTTTATATTTTATTTCTACCTTATTAAGGAAAATGGTACCTATTATTAATAACGGTTGTTTCTGAAACATTACTAAAATTTTCGAAATTTTGTTTTTCTACAAAATAATAAACTATACTATTTAGAAAAAAATTTAGTTCTCTTATAATTTTATAAAAAATAACAGGGGAATATTTACATTTCTTGATCTATTAAACAAAACGATAAATTATCTCGACGAATGACACCATGTTCTAGTACGGAAGCTAGCTTTACATTTTTGTTGGTGGTTTCATGGGTTTCATATCAATTTTTTGTAATTGTAGTTTACACGTACATATACCTCTTAACACTTGTTTGCTTTATTAAAAAAGTGTGTTGTTGTGATTTACGTCGAAATAAGTCAAAAACAACTTGAAACCCCATATAAAATCAAAAAGGAGAAACGGAAAAAAATTGAGCCTGTAAATGAAGACAACTCAGAAACAAAAATAGCTATCTAATAATAAAAAATAAAATTTGATTCTTGTGTAGCTTCATCTATATCATTAACTGTTTTTGGTTTTTTAATGGTTTTTCTTGGTGATGAAAATTCCGATATCTCACGGTAATCGATTCTTTTTTTCTCTCCAGAAATGCGGACGACAGTGTTTTTAGATACTCCTGTGGCTGCAGCAACACGATCATTTACATTTTTAAATGGTATTGAAGGTGAATTAAAGTTTCCTTCTCTTCTCATAAACTCTATAACATTGGCTATTATTTCGCGAGATTGACTGTTAATCACGCGGCCTCTTAATTTGCTATTAAACTCCATACTTAGGTTCTATTAAACTGTAATGAGCAAAAAACACAAACGAAAATAAAAGAAATGTTTTAGCGAAATTTACATCTGACATTTACGTCTGAATGAAATAGTGAAATACTTGATGCGCAGAGTGTACTTTCATTGCGTAAATCCGTCGGGATGCCTGTCAGTAGTGCTTTCTCTGTCTAGCCGTCGAAAGCCTCTAGAAATTTGATGAACTGTACTAGCCATTTAGAGTGAACAAGCTTTGAACAAATCAGTAAAATTTCGCTGTAAGCTACCAGACTATTTGTAATTAAAAGTCGGTTTTTGTTGTTGATCGAGTCGTTAAAATGTTGCTGTAAGCTGCCAGACAATTATTAAATGAATAAAAGTCGATAGTTGTTATCAGGAACAGGTTTTTGTGGATAGTTTTTGCTTATAATTGATAGATAAATGCAGATAATTAATTAACTAATAGTTACATTATTTACAGATGTTCGGCAATGGCAAATTTATGACGGGCTTTAAGAAAAACTTACAGGATTTTATTGCAGTCAAAAAACGACAATTTAAGACGTATTATATATAAACCACTTTAAAACAGTAACTTTGAGGAACACTTTAGAATTTGTATGAGTACGATTACTAAGATAATTTTTTATAGTTAGGTAACAATTTAAATTTTTTAAATGTTTATCAAAAAAATGTCATTGCAAATTCTAGACAAAAAATGTTAAGACTTGGTATTTTCACAAATTGAAAACTGAAATGTATCCAAGGCTTTGTATCTTTTTTTCCTGCAAGCATACATCACAAGCCTTTAGAAATTAATATAATAACCCATGATTTCCATTTAAATCACCTTGCAGAAGAGTGGTATTTTGATTTTCGTATTGCAGATTTTTTTAGCATTAATAACTTTTTGCAGACGTTGACTAGGATGACATGTCTTTGTTAGGTGCTAATGAAGCAACTGAATGTCTTTATTACCAAATTTATGCAGCGCTCACCTGTCAGTGAATGGCGATTCAGGTGAATAAACTGTTTAAAAGAATTGAGCAAAACAATTTACAATGTGTTCTCCATCTGCTGCTATAATATCTCCGTAATACATTGTATCTGGTACTTCACAGGACGAACGTTTACTGTTTACATGTTTCGCGAAATATTTTGGATTGCTGCATAAACTAAGGTCTAGCTGATTAATATAATTGTTATGGCAACTATTAGATACATTTTTGCATGATCTTTTAAGATCTGAAAAGACTTGATAATCCTGTAGAGTAAGAGTATTTAAGTATTGTTTATGTGCAACTTTCTTCTGCTGAACTAAAGATCGTAACTCTGCATTAAACCATTTTGGATAGCTGGATGTTTTAAATTTTTTCACAAGCACAAACAAAGATACTGCCATATTTAGTATATTATATAATTCTGCTACTGCTTCATCAATGCTTGATAAGTTTAAATGATTTTTCAAATTATACTAGCGAAATAGTTAATAAGACCAATATAATCAGCATTTTTAATGTCGTAGTAGAATTCACTATAACATATTGAATTATTGTTCTTGTGTAAAGCAGTACTGAAAGTATAACTGATGTGATGATAACAAAAATTTTAAAAAACTAAATCTAAAAATGTATTTCTATTATTAAGAATGTTTATCAATTGAAAAAATGTAGGAAAGCATAACTCTGAGCTACAAGGATAGCATGAGAACCTTGAGGGCAATTTACTAATACACCATCTTCACTGTTATCCCAATATGCTTCAGGTAAATTGAATTGAAATCGCCAAATATGTAAATCTTCTGCTGATTATTTCTTTGAACAATGTCTTCTACTGTCCTACAATGTTGCTCATACACTACTTCTGAGGATTTGGGAGGAATGTATACTCACCCAACAATAAATGTTTCATTTCCAATTGAACATAGCAGATAAAGTTGTTCTACCAATTTGTGTAGAGGATTTAACACAGTTACTTTGATGGAATCTTTTATAATGATTAATATTCCTCCCCTCCTAGATTTGTCACTGGTTTCTCTACATCGATCACTTCTGAAGATTGTATATGCTGGTATTTTAATTTCAGTATCTAAAATACCTTTGGATAACCAACTTTAGACTAGAATTAGTAAATCATAATTTGAACATAGAACGGAAGCTATGAGATCTTGAATTTTAGTACGAAAACCTCCTACATTTTGGCAATATATTTGTAATAGGGATGAGATTAGTTTTTGTGGCCATTTTTTCAATTTCTGTATCTAATACCAATATCACTTTCTCCTTTCTCACGCCTTTCCACACCTTATTATGCATGTCCCTATATACTTTTGTGAGATCCTTGTTTATTTTGATGGAAGAATGTTGTAAATTTCGTTTACATCTTAACACATCTTTAACTGCGTTGTTATTTATTAGAATAGCTTTGATAGGTCGAGGTCTAGCCCCTCCTGGTTTACCCACTCGAATAATTTTAACCATATCGCAGATTATTTCTTCCTTGCCCATTAGATTTAGAGTTTCTTCTATTCTTTGTCTATCCTCTATTATTCGTTCTTCAATATTTCTGGAATGGGATTCAGGAACATTAAAAAACATAACATTATTGGCTTTTATAATTCTTTCATTAATCTCTGAAAACATTTCCTCACACATTAAATTTGATGTACTAGAATCCTGCTTTAAATTATCTACTTTATTTATTAATTCTTCAATTTTCCTATCTTTTTCTTGTTTTATCATTGGCCTGTTTAAGTTTATTTACTTCAATCTTTAAATCATCAACCATACTTTTCAAAACTGATACTAGCAGCAAACTTTGTTCACAGTCTTCACAGAAGAATTTTAACTTTCTTGTGTCTGAGGAAAGCTGTAGGCACCTAACTTCTGTAGCTGTTACATTAGCACAAGTTATATGGAGAAATCTTTTGCAGCCATCACACTTAAAAGAAGATTTATCTTCATTCACATCCTTCTTACATTTCATACATGTACTCATGGCTATTTATTATAACATCTACTAAAAATAATTAAGCACGGCACTGGACTTCACTATTTGATTTCTTCTAACAGATTATTACTTTTAGTTTTTGCCTTGGCACCAAAAAAAAAGTCTGTTATATTAAATGTTGCAAATTATATCAAATTACCAGATTACTAATAATTTTTTAGCAAATATCACTTGATATTTTTACAGCCTATGATATTATGAATTTTTTGATATAAATTTTGATTAAAATACTTCACAATAAACTTGAAACTGACTTGTTATTTGAGAGCACTTTGTAAAATATGTCTGTCTTTAAACTGATATATTGAATCTTTTTTATCAAATAGGTTTCAAAACGTAAAAATTTGTGGGTGTTGTATCCTACGAGATTACAGTTCCTTCAGGTGTACCTCAAGGTTCACATTGTGGACTAATTCTTTTTAATCTGTTTATTAACGATATTTCTGATTCATTAAAATATAGACAATACCTACTTTTTGCAGACGATTTTAAGTTATTCAAATCTATTAATTCATATTGTGATATAAACAGACTTGCAAACGGTGCAATATCAGTAAAATTTCAGTTGGACAGCAACAAATTTGTCAAACATCGATTTAAAAAGTATAATTTTAGAATTAAGGACATGGAAGAGGCTAAGTAATGGGAGTCAGGATTAAGAGGAAACAAGATTAACCCACTGCTACCAAAAATAACTCAAAACATACCTAATATTCGAAGTCCCACGTTATGCAATGGTTACACTTATTATAATTAAAATTAATCTTTATAGATAAATCTGTCATTTCAAGGTGGAAGCCCAATGCTTGGTGATGAAAATGAAGTCCCATTGATATCAGGATTTATATACATAAGTATATTTATATTACCTTCATCTTTAGAAGAAGCAATCGTTATACTTGGTTCATCCTTTTGAATGCGCTTTGGTGAAGCACTCAAATCTTCTGAATTTGATTCTCGAGCTTTTAACAATATAGTCGGTTGTTTTTTAGGAGGATCTGTAAGGCTAGTTATTTTAATAGGGTCTCTGCTTAATTTTAAAGAGGTGCCACTCTCGTTTCTCGAGTTTGAATAACTTCTTCCTTCCGGTTTGACATGGCCCAATGTTTCCTTGAAAAAAAAATTATTACTATAAGGCTTGAAATGCCTTCAAATATGTATACCTTTCCCTTTGAAGAAAAAAACTTTTTCTTAGGGAAAACTTTGTTTCTATCATAATCTGACATTTTCTATGAAATTATAGATAAACAATGAAAGCAACGGAAAACTGAAATAAAGCAGGAAAGAACTAAACACATCGTCAAAATAAACCAGAATAATAGCCCGGTATAGATCTCTATACTGGGATAATAGTAACTCTTTTCTGCTCTTTTAGGACCCAATTCAACCTTGTCTTGTTATTCTTGTTCACGATAATTGATTATTTATTTTCTATAAATGCTGATGAGTGACGATAATAACATATTTTTAGGTTAGAAAATTCCGCACATTTGACATTTCCAACAAAATGGCTGCCTAAGGGTTTTGACAGAGTCAATAATCATATAGATTGATCATGTTTTTCAAAATTACAAAAATACCCATACAGTTCATGATTTGAAATGAAAATGTACGTAATTATTTTTGTCTTGCAGTTTACTGCTTTATTAAAGAGCATGTACGCACCATTGCTTCTCCAACTCGGAAATGTTACATAGTTGCCAGGATAATAATATTTCAAATCTAGGAAAAATAAAGTCATCAGAGATGCTTTCAACATGGGCGTCGTTTAGAGGGAGGATAAGGGATAGTGGGGATGGCAGTTGCCCCCGTGGTTTTTACGACTTAATTAACAACGCGTATGATATGCATTACAAGCAAATATAGAAATAATATTCAGGCTAATATAGTTGAAGAATATTATAAGGTTGAATATTTATGTATATTATTTATATATCTGGATTCCCTTATTACGTCGCTTACATCACGCTTTTCCGAAGACACTAGTTAGTTTTTCCTTAAGTCTGTTACATCCCAAAAACATAAAAAATAATACATTTTTTACTACCGATCAGAAAATGAAAATAGTGGAAAAATTTGGAATCGACAATTTTAAAGCTGAATACCAAACGTGGATAGCTAATTTTAGTACAAAAGAGCTTTCTGCACACAATGAGCTCTCCATTAATGATATAGCGTCCAAATATGGTGCATTTTATCCAGATATACAAGGAGCTTTAAAAATATTTATGGCTCTTTCCACCAACGACAGCGTCAATTAAAAGAACGTTTAGCACGCTAACGCATTCTAAAACATGACTGCGGTCTATATGCTCAGTTCGAAGTCATGGTAGGGGAAGCAAAAACGATACTAGCACAAGCTGCGGATAATTCGAGTACTCTAAGGCAATATTTTGTAATTTTAGCTTAACAAATACACGTAAATATTTTACTTTTTTCTTAAAAAATAGGTAAAAACAATAAAATAAGCAACCGGAGTTGCTATGTTGTCAATTGTAAAAATACTAGCAAAAAAACTGTAAATTATATAAATGGTCAGTAGCAAAATGGAAATTAAAACAAAGAACTAAATATAGCTGTATAATAAAAAGAAGAAAAAAAAACCTTTATTTTTGTAATAACAGTAATACTGGAAATAATAGACATCAGAAAATTGAAAGGTTTTAAATAAATAATAAATTATTATTTTATGATGTTCTTCAACGTCCCTTAAATATTACATGTTTAGCAAGGATTAGATTTATGCCTTTGATTATTGTATATGGCTGAAATGCAATCTTGTGACTTATTGATAGGAAAGCAGTTTTATTCATTAATTTCTATGGGTTCGTTCGAACTAAAAATGAAGAAAATATAAATTACAATCGCAAATATACCAATTATTTTTGTTAATACGTTTTTATTATACATTATATAATGGTAATGTTTTTATTTTGACATTATTTAACCTATTCTTCAATGACAATTTATTAGGCTTAGGCAACATCTCATACATTTTCTCGAAAATACATGCTTGTTTTATTAATGATTTTTATTGATTATATTATTTTTTTAGCTGAAAGTAATAAAAATATATAATAATAATAAATTAATTTTTTCACTTGTTTTACAAATCCATATACTTTTATTAAAATCAACATATATATTTTTTAATTAAGACTTCTATTAAAAATTGTATTGTCAGTATACGCAAATATCGTCCGTTAGTTCATAAAATTGTTGGCGCTGCTGTCACGCACGTAGCGAATAATGAATGAAAATAGAGGCTGACTAGGCTATGCATAATGAGCGTACATCGAAAAATAATCGGAAAAAACAAAAAAGAAATTATATTTTCTGTTATCGATGTTTTTGGTAGAGAAAAAAGAAACAAATTTGCGTTTTCCTGATGTTTTTTTTTTGTGTTCGTCGACGTGTTTTAGTGAGTATTTTATTTGTGTTTTTATAAATTTTAATTTTTTTATTATTATGTATGGCTGTGTCTTCTTGTTCATATTTTTCTTTTATATCACACTTTCTGATTGTTTTTTTAAAATATGTTTTAAGTTTCTTGTTTTTTTTTTTATTTTAGTTTTTGTCTTTTTTGTTGGGTTATTTTATTTATTAGAGACTTGTTAATTTGTATTGTTCTTTTATTTTTCATTTTCTTTGTTTTCCAACAAATAAACATTCTAAATTTTTTTTAAAATTTTGCCCCTCCCTATAGAATTGTGTAACGACGCCCATGACTGTCAAACATATATTTTCGAGGGCAAGTAAATTTTTTGAATTAAATAAAAATATCCTTTAATTTTAGATTTTGATGTATTTTTTTTTGTGAAACAAACAAACAACTCACAATTAAAAGATAAAAAAATAACGCAAAACAAAAATGGACATATGGCAACGTGTGGCAGATGTAAAATTCAAATTCTAAACGTTGGTTCGCTTGTTGTTGCTTAGCAGCGCAAACTTTATTAAGGTGCGTTTACACGAATATACAGACATCGCAACCTAATTTGTCTGAAGGGGGATGCGTGTTAATATTTATCTGAGGTTAATCTCGAATTTCAATTGTCAACGCCTACTGTAACTGTTAAAGAGAGATGCAAACAATAGCCGTGTTGTCGGGGGTGATAAGTAGATGATAATATTTTCTTGAATTTGTGTTTGTGTAGCGTGCAGATTTTGAGTTATATTTTATTTTTATTTGTTTATAGTGTTTTCTTTTGAGTCGTGACTTACTTGTGTTAAAATTCCGAAACATTTAAGTATTCAAGCAAAGGAAATAATATTTCATCTATTCGAATATTTTATGAAAAAAAAAAAAAAATTTCTCGGCAACAAATAGTTTTGAAAAAAAAAAAATAACGATGATAGTGAAACTTATAGACAATGTGTTGTGAATGATGATCCCAAAACTCTCACTGAAATTAAAAAACAAGTTGCTGAAGCTACAGAATACTCGGTAAACACAATTGAACGAATAATTATAGAAGGTGGCCAGATATAGAAAGGTGAAAATTCTACGTCGACCATAAAACGATTGTTTAAAAGTCCAAAAAAGCGCAGAACATCAAGGGTAACAAATATTCCATCCTACAATACAATATTGGAACAATCAGAGATATAGTTTATAGATTTCACGAAACAGAAGGTATGCGCGTAACAGTCAAAACTCTTAATGAAAAATTAAAAAAGGAAATTGAGTGGAAAGGGAGCTACACATCATTAAGAACTATTTTTTTAAAAAAAATTGGGTTCAAGTGGCAAAAAACGCGAATTAATTTATTTCCGGTCACACCCGATGATTTATTTATTCATTTTGATTGAATTGTTGTAGTACATAATTTTTAAATATTAATATTACGTCATCTATAAAGTTATAAACAATGTACTTTTCGAAAACTTTAAAACACGATTACTTTGTATTATCCAAAACTTTTTGAACCAAGTGAATTTATTTGTTTGACAAATGACGCCAGGCAACCAAATTTAAAGAGTAATATCAACAGAAGGATAGCTGAATTAGTTCAATTTGTGCTGGGTTAACTGTAACGTCATTCGGTGGATACTTTTAAGGCATTTATTTATAAGCTGTAACATTTTAAAATTCTAGTTAAAAATGTTATTTTTAATTGTGTGACATTCTGTATAAAATAGTATTCGATTAATTTAAATTCAATTATCGCCGCACGCAATATTCCTAAAAAAAAGGGAAATTTCGTGAAGTGGGAGTACAGTAAAGCAGACAATATCGCCATTAGGTCATGGAATTTCATTTCCCGATATTATCTCGTAGTATCTACTAGTGTTTGGCTGTACAAGTGGCGAGTAAAAAAAAGTATAATGTCGTAAAAATATCTCAGTAGAAATTATATTTCAACCTGTTGTTAGTTATAAGTTGATTTTTTTAAAAGTAAAGTTAAATTTTTTAAATATATTTTTATAATTCATTTTGGTTGCTGGAATTGCACATTGTTTATAGTAATAAGTTTTTATTGTATCTTGATTTAATTTTAAAAAGTAGATGTTTCAAATTTAATTTATATCTCATACAAGAGCCACGTGAAAAACAGAATTTATTTTTGTTTAGAAAACGAATAGCTAGAACTAGAACAAGAAACTAGAATTAACATTTATACCTAAACTTCAAAATCTATATCTTCCATCTTGGACATTGGAGATAACTGAAGCAGTTTCCTGGAAGCTTAAATATAGAAATAACGAGAGTTGGTGTCCGTGCTCGAGTAGCAGAATTACAGAAGTTCTACTGCATCCTAACGAAGTTGCCACCCAAACCCATATAGTGGTAACTAGATAGCGCCTAATTTTAATATTGGAGATATAAAATTTAAATTTACCAGCTTATGTTCAATATTTACTTGTTTCTTAACATTTTCACTAATTTTTTTACTGAATAAACTAATTCATTTTTATAAATACATATGTTGAATTTAATTTTTTTTTTTTTAAGGTTACAACAATTCTCTTTTGCCTAAAATTTATATAGGTTTGAATTAATTTACTTTTGATAAAGCTAGAGTTTATAATTCTCACTAGCTTTCTAAAAATAAAAAAGAGAATTATTGGCGCCCCTCTCTCCCAGAAAACTATTATCCCCAAAGGTGTCTATTAGAAAAACCGGATTCACGACTGAGAAAAATATATGGTCAATGTGCTCATTTCTTTTTTTATTAGATTAGAGGTAAGTAATGTTTGGTGTTAAATTTTTATGAGCTATTCAAAATTTCTTATAAGTGTTTTGAAATTAACATTTTATTGCAAAGTAACGCCGGGCTATTACAAAGCTTGTCACAACATACTTGAGATGTTTTCGTTTTAGAGAGGTCCCTCGCGGACGCTGTCAAAATCGGACACTCGATTTCGATTTAAAAATTATGACGTCATATAGCAACCGCAACCGCTCGCAACTTGCACGGAACATTGACCAAACGAAACCGGCCTTCGCAGGTGGTTCGAAGAACTGGTATATGTTCATCTTTATCGCACATTATAGTGCTATCCTTTATTTATCCTCGAATTCGATTTCGAATATTTTCACCTGTCCCCGGTTTTCTAAAAAATATTACCAAGCTTCCACGTTTTAAGTTAAAAATAACGTTTTGTACAATAGGATAGTTTTAAACCATTTTTTCGTTTTTATATTGTGATATCCCGTAATTTTAATCATTTTCCATCACATG